ATTCGTACCATTTATCTCCTTACTTCTTGTTGTTGCTTGATCCTCTTTTTTTTTAAATCTACTATTATTGTTAAAGATTTTCTTAATGGTTTTGATCATGAAAGCTATATCATTTTCATCATCTTCTTCTTGTAATGCTTCTCGTGAGAGATTTTGAGTAAATCATCTTCTTCTTGAGTGATTGTGAGTGCAATGCTTCTCACGAGTCTAACTTCCTCTTGATCTTGCAGTTTTGATTTTAACTTCAATTCATAAAAGATTAGTGAATTGACAAGAGATTCAATAGGTATGAAATTCAAACCTTTTGCATCTTCAATAGCCGTAGTTTTAGGCCCTCTTTGATAATCCAATTTAGCACTTAAATTTAATAGATTCAGATCTTAATATGTTCGACACGTTTGATAACCAAAAATTAAATATCTGAAGTAATTAAGTGGCACTGAATTTCTTAAGCAAAACCTACTCCCAAAAATAAGTGATAAGTTATTCACTTATCACTAAATGTGATATATACTCAAATATATTTAATTTAATATTTAACAATTCAATAACTTAATGAATTCAGACTTCATATTTCAGTTTTCAGATTTCAATTTTATCAAATGCATCCTTAGTTTTTTAATCCTTAAGCAAAGTATTTAATTTTTTTTATTTCTTTCACCCAAAGAGTATTCTTTACCAAGCACTTTAAGTTTTTTAATAATGTCATTAAATCTATAATGCACCTTATCATTATTTTTATGAGGTTCCAAATTAAAAGATTCATATTTAATAACAAGTAACGACTTCTTTAGTTCTCTAGCATCATTCCTACCTTCATAAATTTCTTTCAACTTATTCCAAATCTCTTTGGTCGGCGTACATTCTTTTGTCCTTGTAGAATCATTGGCATCTGAAAAATTATACAAAACATTCATATCTTGGCATTAGCGATGTGATTAACTTTGTTTTGAGTACTCAATTCATTTCTAGTTTTGGCCTAAATCTATCTAAATCTGCATCTAAAATGGTGGTTGCATAAGGTCTCTCATTAACTATATATCACAACTCAATATCTATAGATTGCAAAAATATTTTCACACGTTCTCTCCAACTAACAAAATTTACTCTATTAAACATAGGAGGTCTAGTAATAGATTGTTCCTCTGAAAATAAAGTATTATTTGTTACCATCTTTACTCCTAAACTGATTGAGTTTAATCTCTAGAAAATCAAATTCTGATACCAATTGTGAGGCCTAAAGCAACCTAAAATAGTGTCGTGTATTAGGTTGTTCATAAATCAAATTAGTAATATCAAATATTCATCTAATTTTAACTATCCAAATTAACCTAATTAAGCACACACTTAAGTCAAGAAAGAGCAAGTAACGATGGAGTAATTAAACTAGACACGACAATTAAATGAAAGAAGAGTAAAATAAACTAAAAGATAGATAAACTAATTTATAGTGGTTCGGTTCTGTTGCTGGCACCTACATCCACTCCCAAACTTCGCCAAATTTGGAATTCAATCCACTAAGAGATTTTTCCAGTGTTGGTGAAGAAAATCCAACTTGTACAAAAAAAGATCATCCTTAAAAAAATGTGGGTAGGAAAACATTTACAACATATCAACAAGCACTAAAAAGAAAAGTTAGAAAATATTTTCACTGACAAACCAAACACCAAAAAGTTACAAAAAAGGGTATTTGGAAAATATTTTCAATGATTAACCAAATACTGAAAAATTATAGAAAAGAGAGTAATTTTTCAAGAAAATAACTTTGATGGAAAATATTTTCTTATTTTCAGTCCAACCAAATGAACCCTAAAACATAAGAAAAATGCATATTCACACATAACACATCAATTCGAAATGACTTTACTAAATTTTTGGAACTTAGCAACTTGAAAATCTGAAAAACAACTGGAAATTGAATCTTTTCCCTCTTATAGTTTTTGCTAGCTACAGTAAAGCCTCCATAAAATAATAACCTTGGAACCATACAAATTATATTAATTTAAAGAGGTACTAATTAATCGATAAATTAATAATTTATTATTTTATCTAGTTTACTTACAATTCAAAGAAATACTCATTTAATCAACTAGAGTTTCATTTGTTTTATAAAAATATGAATTATTCTATTAATAAAAGAAGGATAAAAGTCCGAGAAATATAAACCAATCAATATGTACCTAATTTGCAAGTATAATTTAATTTTATTAATGTCTTCAATATACGTATGTAACTAATATAAGTTTTCTATTATTAAAAGGTTAAAAAGACTTAGGAATACTAAATGACGGATGTCTACTTCTATTTTATTAAAAAAAATATGAATTTTTCTATTAATAAAAGAAGGCTAAAAGTCCAAGAAATATAAACCAATCAATATGCACTTGATTTGCAAGTATAATTTAATTTTATTAATTTCTTCAGTGGACGTACGTAACTGATATAATTTTTCTATTATTAAGAGGTTAAAAAGACTTAGGAGTACTAAATGATAGATATCTACTTCTATTTTATCAAATGGATATTACGTATACAAAGGACGAGGAAATCTTATTATAGTTAACAAATACAAAGTGTTCTTACACATCTCATTGTTAATATATCATTTTCATCTAAAAGGTGCTCATAAATCAATCATGGCTGATCAAATGTATCAAGCATTATGTGAGTATAATAGAGAGCATTCCACATGCACTTAAAAAACATTTACAACAATAGGTTTAAAAAAAAATAGACTCATATTTCAATAAAAATATGATATGTAATTTTAGTGAGTTATTAATTTATGATATGAATAGCACTAAAGGAATATGTAAGATTTTCAAAAAAATTATTATCTCATTATTTTATTAAAATTATTAATTTAACTCGTTAGCTCGAGTTGGCACAGAAAAAATTATTATTTAATAGAGGTTATTAATTTATTGAGTATTAATTTATAGAGATTTTACTGTAATTTTATCCAAAATCCAAGCAAGCTTATTGTCTAAGTAGCTTATTCTATGTATCCTTCATGCTTGATATACTCTGAGGAGGTTACAAAATGAAAATACTAATATAATAACAACATGTATAAACAATAAAAGAAGAGGTTAATGTGTTCCAAACTGAAATACAAATTTTAGCAAAATTTTAAAAAATTTTGTTGGTCATACATTTTATTATGCTGAAAAGAAAAAAAAAATTTATTCAAGTTTTTTTTAAAGAGATGCTCACTTTCGCGAGAAAGGATATAATATCCCTTTCACAAAATACGAAAAGCTTCTCATATGAATAAAATACCCTATTTCCTAAGTTATATGTGCTTGATTTGTTATTCAAGTTGTAAATTAAATTTTAATGTTTACAATATCTCAAAGAAAAAAATAGAAAAAAAAAAGACAAGGAAAAATCTTACCAAATTCTAGATTAGAGATCTTTATCCAAATTTCTCAAGATAAAGATTGTAAATTTGTAATACCTTTATCCAAATTCCACGTAGACAGGTGTCCCATTTGTTACTCTTCGTTGCCACCAAAATATTATAAACTGATTTTCGTCATTTTTCATTATGTCTAATTGGATTGACTTCCCTAAGGGCTCATTATAATTACAAAAAGCACCTTTTAAAACTTGAAATTGCAATAATATCCTTTTAGATTGGGATAATGATATTTAGACAGACTCTTCTTCCTCACACATTCTCTTAATGTTTTCTTAGGCCAAATAGACAAGTCTATAGAACATTAAATAATTGTCCTAAAGTTATGCCATAATGCTGCTGAAACGTACTCTGAAGATTAATATCAACCTTAGCAATGATAAAAAAAAAAAATAGAGATTATTGAAATAAAATGAATGAATAATCTAGTTAGTTATTATTCTACTCAAAGTTGAAAACTTTACCTACATTGGATTTGCTGTAAAATATCACTAATTTCTCTTAATTTAAAGATTCATCCCAATTGGATTGCTATTTTTTTTGAAGTTTTTGTAAAAAAAAAAAAAAAAACTGTATTCTAACAATTTGATATGTGTGAGATAAACAGGTTATTGATAAATATGTTCTCTTAATTTAAATTTTTTTTGAGAAAAAATAGCAATCCAAACAAGGAGACTATTCCCCTCTCTACATATCATATCATATAAAAGAAAAAATGCATAAGATCGTGCATATCATTCTTTTTGTCTAGTTAATTTCGTTTAATTCAATATCTACTGGTATAGTTTTTAACTTTTCTTTAAATTACTTGTACATGGACGCTTAATCCTTTTCTAGACCTTATGCTTAGTAAACTAGACTTAAATCTTTTCTTTTTTTGGAAGGAAACTAGACTTAAATCTTTAAGCACAAATACTAATAATGTCCTTTCCATGTGGTTGCACCACAAAAGCTTGATTCATTGACTAGCAAAACTTAAAAATTCATTGAACAAACGAGTTCCTATCCCAAATAAAAGCTATCTCAATAGTTAAATTCCAATTGTTAAAAGTTTAAGTACAATTACAATTGGAAAATTTCTACCCCTATGGTATCGATTCTATCTAGCCAAGTCATGAAGCAATGTAAAACTCACAAGCAGTCCAAACTATTCAAACCCTTAAAAAAAGTCAAAGATTGACCATCTAAATAAAAAGCGAATACGAAAAAATAGAACGAAGGAAAATCTTAGGGCAATTGCAGATTCAATGAAGGTAAGAAATAATCTTTGTCTAAATTCACAAGCTCAAGAGGTAAATGAAAATGTCGTTAACAAATAAGGGAATGCGATTACGATTAACAATCTGTTTCGGTTTTTCACCCCCAATAAACCACAAATGTGTGCGAAATTTTTTGTAATTAATCCAAAAATCAAGGGCAAAAACGTATAATAATAATAACAATAATAATAATAATCAAGCCCAATTCTTTTTTCAATACCACTATGGAGTAAGCTTTAATTTTTTCCCCCCAACTCCACCCTCCCAAAATGCTAAATTCCCAATCACCAAAATTCAATCAATCAATCCATCCAATCTCTCTCTCTCTCTCTCTCAATAACCAAAAACCCTAATTCCATCGATTCAGTTTCATATCAGCCTCGCATTAGCTATCCCACCCCCCAACCCCCCGTCTTTCTACTACCCCATATCCCGCCCCCCAATTCCCCTCCCCCCCTTTCTATATCCATATACTCATTCATATCTTCTCTCTTTTTTCTTTAATTTTTCTCTCCTTCTCTCCACCTCAAGCCCCCGGGCCTTCCTCCTTCAATTTCTTCACATTCATTCACACCATCACCGACTCAATTTTTCGATCGATCCGTCCCTCCATCTCTGCCATCTCTCTTTTCCGTTTCAGGTATCCAATTCCCCCCCGCCCCACCACCTGATCGATCTTTTTCTGTTTTGCCTCCTTATTTTTTTCCCCTAGGGTATGTGTATGCACGTGGATTTATGTAACTGTTGTTTTCTTTTTGTTTCTGATTGGTGGCTTCTGATTCCTTTTTTCTGTTAGCCTTTGGTGGTGTGGGAACTTCTGGTTTTTTTTTTTTATTTAATTTGATCGAATCTTATATGGTGGAAAAGTTGGTGTTCTTTGATCCGCATGCCCATGCCGCAGTTGAATTGCTTGTGTCGTGTGGCTAATTGTGCGATGGATCAATTTTTTATTAAGGGGAATTTTGATTGATGAATTGTTGAATAGGCGTGTTTGCTTGTAATATGCAATTGTATCATGTTAGTTTGCTTGAATTTAATTGATTTGTTGTGTTCTTCTGAGAATGTGATTGTTGGTTGCGAGTTTTTTGATTTTTTTGGTCTAATTTATGGTTATAATCGAATGATTTTGATTGTTTTCATTGTTTCTTGAGGTGGGCAGCTATTTTTTTTTTTTTGATTGATTTTTTTTAGTTTTGAGGTTCTTAGCTTTGCTGAGGAAGGACGGCAACAATGGTGATGCAGTTTCTTGACTTTTTTTCCTACACGTGTATACAGTCAGGTACACGTGTATACAGTCAGGGGATTGCAATGTGTTCTTTACACGTGTACATACTCAGGAGATTGCAATTTGTTTATTTTACACGTGTACAGAGATTGAATGTAGACGTCGACCGACATCTAGTTGGTGCTTTAGTTACGTGTCTTGATTTTGTTGATGAAGTGAAGGTGGGGGCTCCACTTTTTTTACCCATTGATGTGTGTGTCAGTAAGTTGTATGATGTATGTTAGGATCATCAGCTATACGCTTTCTGTTACTTGGCTTCTAGAAAAATTTGTTTGACCAAACAAGTTCAATGTGCTTTAGATCTATGAAAAGCCGAAATGTTCTATTAGATAGCTGTTGGTGGATATAGGAGGATTTTAGGTTTGTATCTTTATAGAGGATATTCAAATGTGGGAATGCAGGCGTGTAAATGTTTTATAGTGTTAAATTTCTTTGGGAAGGAATGACACTGGCATCAAGATAGAGCCTCCTGGATAAGGCAGAATTTGCTTGGTAAGTGTGACTAGTTTGAGACGTCAATACGGAAATCCATTTCTAATCTTATCTCAGTAACAGAAGTTTGGCCTAGCATATATGCTTTTCTACCTGCATAGTTATATAAGTATGCTAAAACAAGTATGTCACTGAATGTAACGGTGGAGATAGTTGCACAAATAGGTTGTTTATTTAGCTGGATTTTATTCCGAGTAAGCATGCTTTTGAAAATTGGAGCGCCATGTAAAATGTAGGTAAGGAAACTTGTGAACTTTTGAATTTGAAAGCAGTTGGGAGAGTTGCAGTTTTTATGGGAGTAAGTAATGTGGAAAGAGTACTATTTGAATATTTAACGAGAAATTGACTGATCATTGGGAATAGGATGGCTAGTATACTATGGTAAAAAGCTGACTTCAATGGGTGTCTATGTCTCTGGATTCTTGATTAGTTTCTTATTGATTCTTCTATATTGCACACAATTTCTGTGGTGATCCTGTTTTGTGCTTATTTTTTATGTCACACACTCACACTCACTGGACTTCATCCATTCCATTGTTTTTGCTTCAGTAATGACTACTTTTTAATACTTTACTCTTACGGGTCACATATGTACTTCGAAGTTATTTAGAATTCATACTGTTGCTATAGACATCAGTAACCTGGTTATCTGGAAAAGAAGCTGGGTGGAAGCAGTTTTGCATTCAAATCTTGCTTCTGGTTTGCTATTTCTGGTGTTGACATTTTGAGCCCTAGTTGGCAACTGAATAATTTTTGGTTTCCTGTTTGTGAAAATTTAGTTTTGCAGGTGTTACTTGTTATTTGTTTATTTCTGTCGTATGTGGCATCAGTTTGCAGAATTAGCACCACTCTTCTCGTAAATGTTTTTCATCACATCCATGTATGCACTTTTTTTTGTATTTTCTAATAGTTGCTTTTACTGAACTATGACATTTGTTGGAAACTGAAACTGAGATCTTGTAAATACCCTGTTCATTGCAGCCTCTTTTGCCCGTAGTTTGTTGCAGTTAAACTAAATTGGGTCTTGCTTACGGTGTGCAGGAATTAGAAATAGAGGCCGAGGAGATGTCTCCAGCATCCAAAGCTAAATCAAAGGACAAGAAGGCGGTAAAGGAACCTTCAAAGGCTTCTTCAAAGTCTTCAGGCCATGCTAACACAGGAGCTGGGGTTCCTGCTAGTGGATACAATCCACTTTTGGGAACATTCCACACAATTGAGACAGCACCATCATCATCCCCTGCCCCTCTTCATGTTAATGGTAGATTCCGGAATATAGATGAGACTGATGATCACAGTGGGAACTCATTTGGGACCGGTGTTGAGTATGATTCTGTTTCTAACAACGGTAGTTGGTCTGGTGAGTCAGAAGATCACAAGGAAAAAGCATCGCATCCACCTACCCGTCAGGAAACAGTACCTGGAGCTGACAATGATAAGCGAGAAAAAATTCGTCAAAAGAATGACAGGAAGCATCAGCGCCAGAAGGAGAGGCGAGCCCAAGAGTTGCATGAGCGGTGCAGTGGCTATCTCATGTCAAGAAAGCTAGAAGCATTGGCTCAGCAGCTTGTGGCAATGGGTTTTTCTCAAGAACGGGCAACAATGGCTCTCATTTTAAATGAAGGAAGAGTAGAGGAATCAGTAGCATGGTTATTTGAAGGAGGTGAAGAAGCAGATAAGCATAGGGAACATAACCTTGATAGTGGGAGTAATTTGAAAATTGACATATCAGAAGAGCTTGCTCGAATTGCAGACATGGAAATTAGATACAAGTGTTCCAAGCAGGAAGTAGAAAGGGCTATAGTTGCCTGTGAGGGTGATCTTGATAAGGCAGAAGAATCTCTGAGAGTCCAGAAACAGGACCCTCCTTCTGCCCCACCTAAGCCAGAAGAAACTGGTGATCCACCTACCATAGGCAATGGCAAGCTTCCAGTAGCTGCAAGTCAGAATCCATTGAGGATACAATCCAAACCTTCTCCAGCAATTACCATACAGCAAAAAAGAGATGAGAAAGATTTCAATTACACCAGAATTGCAGTTACAACAGGGCCTCCACTGGATCCTGGAAACAAGAACCTGCAGTCGTTAAAAAGGATTCAACCATCAAAAATGGAGTGGGCCAATCCGCAACAAATTGGTGTTCCGGCAGAGAAACGGTGGCCAATTGCTGGATCAAATCCTTCTGTTTCTTACTCTTTGGCGTCATCATTGCAGGCCTCACCTGCACCTTCTAAAGTGGAAGCTCGATTTGTGACTCTTGGAAGTGAACTGAAGAATCTACAGATAGGGTCTGTCAGAGAACCTGTAATAGTAATGCAGCGCCCGCAGAACATGAATGTAAAGCAGACGCCTAGTACAAGTGTAAGTTCATCTTCACCTGGGACAGCTGTGGGATGGTATCCAAATAGTATGGAAACTTTGAAGCCCAATGGATTAATGCCCCCTGTTTCTGGTGCAAGAAGTTTAAGTCCAAACAGTGCAAGTACAAATCAGCTGTACAACCAGTTTCAGTATCAGCCTCAGCAGCAGTTTGTGTCGAGCAGTGGCCCGATGGAATCCCCAGGTATAAGCCGTGGAAATGGTTTATGGAGCAGAACAGGAGCATCTCCGACACTTGCTCCTGCATCCAATCTGGGTCTTTTCTCGGGGCTAGGCACTAATGGCTCGTCAGGCTCCTCATCTCCCGTGGACTGGAATACAGGTGGCTCAATGATGCAGTTAGATTACACCAACATTGACTGGAGTTTGGATCGTGGGTCTTCCATTTCAAGGCCGGGTGGTTTGTGGCCTGGGATGAACTCATTCATGCAAAATGAGGCTCCTCGTACATATGATTCATTTTCTTCTGGAATGGGTGTAAAGTCTGCCATGAGACCCGTCCTGTCCAATGGGAGTAGGGTTCCAATTGCAGGGCTGCAGGATGGAGTAGGTCCTTCTGAAACGTCAACGAGTGGTTCTCGTGAGTGGACTTCCCCCTTTGAGGAAAAAGACCTTTTCAGTTTACCCAGACAGTTTGTTTCCTCCCCCTCTCTGTAGGATGGCTGGGAGGACCTAAAACAATAAAAGGAAAAAGAAAAAACAAGAAACTGTGCTTGAATTTCATGTTGGTGTTGGTTCTGATGCTTTTGCCCGTTTGATTGTCATTGGTCAACCTTAGTGGAAAAAGCATCTTAAGTCTTCGTTTATTGTTCTTCTGGTCCTTTTCCTTGTCTCCAATTTTTTTTCCCATTTGTTTTTGTTTTATATATTTTATATTTGCCATAGCGTCAAAAATCATTGCATCTACCAGAGCAAAATAATGCTTGTTTCACTGATGTTCGAATTGTGCTCTGGAAGAGTGTAGGGAAAACCCCTATTGGCACTCGCATCATTTTGGTTTTTCTGGTGGTTTAGCCAATTTCCCAAAATTGAGGTATATTAGGTTAATGATTAATTGTTAATGGTTGCAAATGCAATTTTTGAAACTTAACGGCTACTCCCTTTAGTCCTCGCTTCCTAGAGTTGGTGGGATTTGGATGCGTTCGGGTAGGTTTAGTTGGTACATATTAGGCATCAACAATTAGTAGAAATTAGGTGTTTTTCTTGCCTCGTTCAATCACGATATTGACTTCAGGTGCCTATTGATGCATGATTGCAACACGTTGTATATCTTTCGTTTCTTTCTTCATGAGAAATGGGATTGAGCCATCCAAATCAAAGCAAAAGATTTGGTTGAATAGTCAAAGGGGAGACTTAATAGAATAGCAGCTTAGCAGAATGCAGCAACCTGGGTACTCGGATTTTCTTCAAGACAAAAAAAATACATGAGAAGGGCTGAACCTGCATTGAAAACTTTGCTGTCTTGTGAAAATCAAACATATTTAGATAATAGAGTATCCATATTTAAGTGTCCTTTTCAAAATGGCTCTTGGACCATTCCATTTTGAAACATCTCCTAAAGTTCATGGTAGGCACTATATAAATGAATTTCACAAATCTATGCAAATGAATTATGAGATGAGAATATTATGTCGACCCCCCTGCAGCCCCTTGAGTTCCATTGTCATGATACAGTTGCATTGTTTCCTTTGAAGCCAATTGGAAAGAAGCAAAACTATTCTGCTGTGCTGGAGAATTCTGTTGCTGAGGTGGTGGCATTTCTTAATACAGGTTCAGAGTACCACTGATTAGCTGGCCTAGTGATGAAATGGGCTTCTGCAATCAAATTGATCAGGTGTCAGAACAAGCTTAAGAAACAGACTCTTAAGACAAGTAGATTAATCTATTTTAAAAGCAGACAATCAAGAGGTCAATATGTAAGACTCCATCCTCCAATAAAAGTCAGTTACTTAGTAGGTAGAATAACACTTTAGGAGATGAGTACAGATGCTAATACATGGATACAAGAAATCTTTTAGGAGGCGGCATCTCATTTCTCAAGTGTAGGAGAGAGGAACTAGAGTAAATAACTCTTAGGAGATTGCATGAGCAGGTGATATTTTGCTTCACTTCAGGCAGGCTAATGTCATGCCCTTTCTATGATCTCTCTGAGGGTTAAGGGCATGATCGCTTTTCAACACCCTCAGATTCTTCTTTACTATTCTCAGTGCTCATCGTTCTTCTAAAATAAGATTACCACTCAGCTTACCCGACCGATAAACCTACCTGAAGCTGATAGTATGATCTCTTTGAAATGATATGAATACGTACCTCATGAAGTGCAATATAAGATGACTATGCATTCCATTTGTGCATGCAGAGACCGGATTTAGAATTTACTATGTGACTTTGATTGATTTGTTATGTCTCACCTGACAAGAATACATCCTTGTACTCATCATCATCATAGACAAATTGTGGGGGATCAGGAGAGCCAACTCCAACTATAGTGCTTCCGCTGCATAATAATTTGAGAGATGGTTATGCTTCTTATTCAAGGGTAAAAGTGGTTCTTGTGAAAGTACTCTCTGGCTTTTGCCAATCAAGTATTTAGGGTATCCTTAGCAGTCAATAAGACAAACAGAAGAGTTATACAACACAGTTGTACGTATTGCTGAACAATGAAGAGGAACAGATAAACAAATCGAATACTGAATAATGTGCTTTTTTTTTCAGTAGAAAAATAATGTGCTTTCAGATGAAAAAATGTTCGTGTTGAACATAGCCCCTTATATTTTGAGGTACTTGAACAGTATATGTTTGTTTTTAATTCTTCTGTCCATCGGACTCACACACCATTATGCTATCTTACTTGCAGCATCTTTACTCTTACAAAGCAAAAATCTAGGTTACACACACCTTTATGCTATCTTACTTGTTTCTTGGTCTCTCATGTGAATAATGTTTACACTTTATTTTGGACCAAGAATTCAATCAATCCTTAGAACTCAAGACTCAGCAATAGTTTAACTTTGATTAAACTGCATGAGAGGCAAATTGTCTTCAATATATTGAGCTAAAATTAATTCTTATGAAGGGGGAGTTGGGTGAAGATTAATAATGCATTTTTATCATAAAAAATATACCAAAGAGCAGAAAGAAGGAGAAGAAAATCTCAACATAGTATTCAAGAATGAGATTTTCTCCAATTTGTGATGGTGCTGAAATTTAGATCCCAATGGGGATGACTCTTGATTATTACACCAAACTAGGGAGATCACATTCTCCATATTATGCATGTATTCACTGCATGTCTACCTTACAGAGTATATGAGTCCCACCACTATACACTCCTCCTCATGGCAAGTAGCAAGATTCATGAGAACAATTGCCATAGCTGATATTCTTCTAACCGTATTATATAGAAAAATGAGAATACAGAACATGTTTACAGCTATAGTTCTACTATGTGTACGGTGTGTTCAAGCTAAGTACAGTTAACCATGCTAGAGCTTGAGATCAAGAAAGACTGCAAAGAACCAGTTTCTCGCATGATTCAAGGAGGACCGGCAGGCCCACATTTGAGGGTTTTTTTTTTTTTAAAAAGCATGGGAGGGGTGGGGTATAAGAAGTGGGAGGGGGAACTATTAAAAGAAATATATTAATCTATATGGAGCACAAAACTGTGGTATGATGTATTACACATTACATTATATGTGTGTGTGTGTATGTATATGTGCATGTATGTATGTATAGTAACAGAACTTGTTTATGACAGGGCATGGTTGCTGAGGTTTGCAAATATTTTGAACTGAAGTTACTTATATTTGTTCTGACAAATCAGAGCTCAAGTTTTTCCATCATGAACTTAATTTAATGATTGTCCAGTATTAACAATCTTGAGTTGCATGGGGTATTGAATTATTTCAGAGTATCTCAGTTTGTTTGCAGCCATAATCATATTCAGCATTCAATGCTGATCACCGCACTAGCATCATCTGCTTGTTAGGTGAGCATAATGCCACACTTATTAGGATATTAGATGACACTACAAGATTATTACACATTATTCGGAGGTGAAATTCTTGCCATGTTAGCCTCAGAAATTGACCATCTCCCAAGGCATAAGTAATAAGCCTGATTGAATATTCTTAAGCCTTGAGGCATTCCCCCATAATCTCATTTGGATCTGGATCAAGTGAGGCAACACAAAAGAAGAAGTGCACAGTTTGAAGCTAGGCCCTATCAGAATTAAAATTGGTTTAAAGAACTAGGTTAAGAGGGATACTTTTTGTGCCAAGAGAGTAACTCAAATGGTTCAAATGATATCAGGTAGATGTGCATAGTTCAGCAATTCAAGTTGCATTTTCAACAAGACCATAAGAAATACTCAACTTCTCACATAGAGGATCAAGCTGATTATGAACACTTATAGGCAAAATAACTATCCCTTATTTTTCATTTCTTTTTTGTGATGTTTAACAATGTGAATCTCCACTTATACTTCTACATGGAAGAAAGCAGAAAAGCTCCTTGTGTTTCTTCAATGTTTGCAGAGGACCTAAAACTTGATGATCCGGATTATATTCAATAAAACTTTACCAATCTGAAACAATGAACACAAGTCTGCATCTAACATAATAGCATTGCAGACAAACATAAGAATCAACCTAGTGCAAACAGGTTACCAACATTTAAAGGGCTCCTTCCAGAACCTATTGCTTACAAATACATATTAAACTATCCAGCAGGATGATACATTTGTTTTTCCAGAAATATTAACCACATTAGTCATCTCTTTACTATAACGCACTATACCATAAATCAAAGAAAAGCTTTGGTTATTGTGATAGAAATGACATTTGTCTTTCAGGATTGAGGTAATTGTGCCCCAAGTAGATTGAACAAGCTTGGATCATAACAGGAACAGCCAGGTTTTGGTTAAATTTGAACCAGCATAGCTGTTCTTGTTAGTGAATCAGATGTCAGCCCAGGATAAGGTTTCAAAGAAGTACATCTGGTTTTCTCACAGATAATTAGTCTGGAGATCATAAAAAACTCTAAGTTTTGCAGAACCATCTATAAAGTGACACTAGCAAGCATCACGGTTTCTGGGGCTATGACCATGTCTTCCTTTGTTAAGATCAATTCCACATCTAAAATAGGCAGTCTAGAATGCGTGCACAAACAGATCTCATTTGAGATCACAAGAGTTTCTAATCTTATTGTTAAGTAATTATGTTTCGTGCACAAACAGATCTCATTTGAGATCATAAAAGTTTCTAATCTTATTGTAAAGTAACTGTGACTCATTAACTGTTAAATGAACTATCAAAATGGAAAGGAAGTAATTTTGATCATAAATAATAAAAAATATGAATGCTAAAAATGAGACAATAGGATACTTTAGATATGTATTGTTATGTGCAAACACTTGAAGGTTAAGACATCAACGCGAGCAATGTTTTACCTCCCAGACATAAAAACGGCGTCATATTGTCCTCGACCAGCAGCACCTACACGCTGCTTCAATCTTTTCAGAGAAGGCAGGACTTCAAAAGCAGGAGGTTCTGCAACAGAGGCATGAACAGATGTTTAATCAACCAAGAAAAAATAGTCTAATTGAATATTACATGGTACAGAAGTATGCAATCTGTTTTGGATTTTAAATGTTTTTCTAACTGCAGGCGTTCCAGAGTTGTATGCCATGGACGAGAATTTGGTGCATAAATTCAGTTGCGAGTTCCTCTAGATGCAGCTAAGCTTTCATCTCACAGTATTATAAATCCAGATTCTAACTTATATGAAAAAGGTCCTTACAAACTAAAGCTGTTCACCACAGGATCTGTCTGCAGAAAAGGACACATGCTAAGCTGCGGCTTATCCCCCTAACCTTAACTCCATACTGTTGTATA